AAATTTGTATTCAATTGTGTACTAAATGGAATATCATAATCAAAGTGTTGTAATAAATAACAATGGTAACCTTCCGTCTGTTTTTTATTAAAATATGTATTTCATGCACTTCACCATTTATTAGAGTTACTTCAATATCGACAATTGTTTAAAATGTTAGAAATTTAAAACTTTCTTAAACTCCATCGTAAGTACGTAACTGAATTCCCATCAAAAAGTTTTCTTTGTTGCGATTGATTTGTAAGAATGGCATGCTAGAAATAAAATTATATTCCATATTTGGCGACTTTCCTCTATTATTTGATACCTTTATAATATGAGAAATAAGAAAGACATAAAACGTTGCATATTTATTTATTACTATTTCAGTTATGTATTCAGTTATGTCTGTGATTATGTTTCATTGGAAATGTAATTCCTAGACATTTTCAATTAGGTTAGTAAAGTCGCTTCATGAAAATAAATAATCCACAGTTACGTTTAACGAGAAACGCAATTATTCTCGGTCGGAGTTTCTCTTCAGCAATTTTTCTGAATGTATTGCAAGTAATTCGCGGTTTCCTTGTCTGTAAGGCATGCACCGTTACGAAATGTTTAGCCGCAGTCTTTTTTGTCGCGAAGACTCCGCTAAAATTGTGATGGTGTCGTAAACCGAATGCCAATCCATGACGTACACTTCTGCTATGTATCGGATGGAAATTCACTAAGAATTCTCAATTACGAATCATCGAAAACTTATCACTGCGCGCATTATGCAATAATGAACGAAAATCGCACTTGTATAGCGAATGCAATGTTACAAAAGAATAATTCTTTCTTGAATAAAAATAAGTTGCCTATATTTGTTTATGTCATAGTTATATAAAATCCGTCGTCTGCTGATAACTATAGCGAGTGATCAAAACAGAATTTCCTTTCCTGATAAAACTGTTATGAATCACCGGAATAGATTCTCTTGATAGAAAATTATTGTCAGAGACCAAGAATTTTCATCTTCGGTTAATGATTATTGCTAACGCAATAAAGTTTCAATTAATTGTAATTGTTATTAGTAGCTAAACATTAAAACCTTTTCATCCTGTAGTGTTCGAACAATTTCTTTTATATTTTATAATTACCAGCATCAACTTGAACAACAAACACGTTTTTGCTACCGATTTTTTCACAACAATTTTTTAAATAACGCTTGCTTTTAACCCCCGGTTTTCACTATTTAGATGTTTATTTCCAACAGTTTACCTCTATTCACAAAGAAAATTCTAATTAAAATTTCTATTAAAAATCTATTATTATTTAAATTTCTACTAAAAATCTATCACAATTCAAATTTCCGCTAAAAATCCATCCTAGATAAATTTATCTCTATTTAAACTGAACTATAATTAAAATTTAACTATGATGGATTTTTGGCGAAAATTTAAATCCTAATAGATTTTTAGTAGAAATTTTTTTGATAAACTATAATTATGATGCCTATTAAAAATCTTATATCGAACTTAAAAATATTTACCAATTTATCTCGAATATTAAGCAATCGACATTGTCTACACAGTTGTCTGGAAGATAAGAGATGCCCAGACATGTGGTTGATGATTTCAACGAGCAGAACGTCGCATTTCACGCTCAAAAACCGCAATGATGTTGTCATAGATGTTCGTAGAAATGGCCTTACTAACGCTGCGCCAGCGCCGTGGTTTTCTGGTGAGGGTATTCATTCACAGATATCACAAGTACACAACGAGTTTAGCGACATCGGTGTGGTGCAAGGCTAAAATTACTTGGCCCACTTCATGATGTTATCATAAATCTTAAAGGAAAGTAAGTATATCCGTACAATTTGATTGATTCGTTACGGAAAAAGTTACCAATCTTATTTCATTTGATGCAGACAATTTTTGTTTTACCTAAAAATCAGCGGTTTAACCATAATTACGAAATGCTGTCAGGAATTCGTATATTTCACACAGAAAATACTTATTGTTTTAAAAAATAATTTACCATGCTTGATGAATTTTTGTCATCTTATTACTTTTAATTCCTACATCACTAACTAAGAAAATATTTTTAATTCTCCTTTGCTGCCTTGTACAAAATAGTAACTTGACTCATCCTGAATAGTAATCATTTGATACGAAGATAGTCGACGGATGCTCTCGGCCGTCGATCGATGCAGCACATAAACATTAAACAAACAATTTACCTTTATCGAACTCAGAATGATATCATATGGTATCTTCTTGGATTTATCTGAGTTCCAGCTGTTATATTCTGAAGACAAAAATATAGTATTCCGAGAAAAAAATTGAGTTGACCTTAAAATCTCTTTCACTTATCCACCCACAAAAAAACTATTAATACCAAATGACATGCCCTATCCTACCAAATAGCTTTTATATTACTTGTAATTTCAACTTCTGAGATGTTTCACTGTTTTCGCTTAAACAGAACATCGTTTCTTAATATTTCAATAACAATTTTGACAAGTTACGAGTGGTAGTTGTACATATTTTCTATAAACGAATAGATGCATGGTAGCAGAATGTCAAGATATTAAACACAATACAATAGTTAAATAATTTTATTGTTTGAAAAATCCGTAAAGATCTTCTTCACTTTCAACAAATCAAACAATGGAAGCCTCTTGTAATAAAAGTTAATAACGACGAATGAAGTACTGAAAAAAGAAATCCCGATAGAATCGTTTTTTGTCTTAACGATTAAGATAAGAAACCCCGAGGATTTGAGATCGTTCGGCTACTCAAAAAGATTACCATGAAAGAGGCTCTCACGGAACAAACGAGGCTATGCAAAGTTTCTTCGCTTTCGAAAGTAATTTTAATGAAACGCCAAGCGGGAAATCGCTGACGGTGAAATTCTTGCGATTCGCGGAGATTAAAACAGACCTGTTCCTATGTGCAAAAGTGACGAGCCACGAAACAATCATTATGTATATTTCTATTCAATGATTAGATGTATACTACTTAGATATACAGTGATTAACGATAATATTCGTTAGAATAAGAATTAATAATCTAGAATAAGAATTAATATTATTTTAAAATGAAATAACCTTTTCTTTGATTTAGACCGTATGACCTGAATTTTTTCGAGATATTAGACTGATAACTTTACTAAACACTGTTTAACTAGTACGAGGCGCTCACCTATTACCGTACACAAAAAATTTGTTCTGAAGAAATAAGAAAAGATTTACTCCTTTTATTTTGTATGAATTTCAAGAGTTAACATTATTAGAATCTAAAATGAAAGGAACAAATACAAAACAGTGTCATAATGTTATTATTATTATTATTTAATAATATTATGTAATAATATTATGTCTTATTCGATAAATATAAAGTTAATTATGACCGAAAGCAAACCAAGCACAGTAATTAGTCACCTCATAGTAACCGGATCCTTTACCCTATAAGTTACCGAGATGTGTAAAATATATTTTAAAAATTTTCGTTTTAGACTTAGATCGAAAAATTTTTAAAACATTTTGTAATTTTGTTATCATCCCAATCAATTGCAACTTTTGAAAACTATTTTTTAGCCATTGATTAATCGTTCTAATGTTCTAAAACAATTTAAATAAAATAAGGGAAAAGACTCGAAATACTTTCATATACATATGTATATGTGTTATTCCAGAATTGTAAATCAATTGTTGAACTCGTTTTTGTTTAAAGTATTTTAAATGAATTGAGGAATGATTCCTTTATGAATGTAAAAGAAATTCTGGGACACCATGTATAAATGGAATTGATATGAACGGAGTGCCACTGTATATTTATCCAACATGTTTTATTCGTTAAAAGAGTAAACAGTTCTAAGAGAACCATATGCTGGAATGTTTACTCGGAATAAAATTTCGAAGGCTCTGAATTACAAGATGACCTTCTTTCAATCCTGCAATATTCAAATGCCGTACGGAATTTGCTGATGAGAAAGTCTCTTTGCCAGGAAACGCTGTGGTCAATGACTTGCAATTAGTTGGAAAAGTGCAAGGGTACAAGTCAAAAGGGTAGCAATCAAGTGTTGTTGTTGACAGATGGTAACTACTGATTTTCTTACTGCAGTGTCGCTCATCATTAGGGCTTCCTCGTCGGCAGTTCCTTTATATTATTTCATCACTGCGCAATTAGCTAAGAGATGGTTACTAAGGCCCTTAACTCATGCAAGACTTCTATTAACAATAAGAAAATAATGAGTTTCTGGTCCCTTCCTAACTTTATGGCCTCTTCACATGTAATTATTTATATTTGTAATCAATTTTCACTGTCGCAAACAATTTTACAGAACGATCTTTTTCTAAATGTTTATCTAACATTTTATGCAGTCACTCCTAGAGCAGACCCTGAGCAATCCCTGATGAGCATTATCTTTTTCTTTTCCTTTTTTTTTTATTTAAGCATTATTTTTTTGATACTATTATTATTATTACACATAGCGGTTGAACTGCGGATGTTTGTGCATTTATGGTATGTGCAGATTTTTCAAGTTGCGAAAAAACGTATAAATTAACAAGGCCTAATACCACTTTACCCTTCTTTAATTCTAGTTTTGGTAAAGTTACGTATGAAAATGACAATCTGCATAAAGATTCACAGTTTAATCATGATATTTGATAAGTATGTATGAGCTTAAATATGTATATTGTACATAATCTGAATTTACATCATATTAGAAATATGAGGTAAAAATACCTACTATGAATTGTAATCCCTTCTTGAAACCGTAACACATATAACACAATAAAAAATAGATAGAGCATATAAAAGTGGATGTAAAAATTCTATGCATATTTTTTAACATCTTTCTTTATAAATTCACTCACATTAGTACCGTCATGAAACAATTAGCCATAAAAAAAAAATATTTATTCGAATACGGGTGTTCTAAGCAAGGACATTAATCGTAGCTTTGATTTTTGAAACGAAATCACCAAGTTTTCATGTTTTTCATTAATTAAATAGCTGTTCCATATTGAGTACTTGAATTTGTTCATTGTCCCGATTTATGAAACAGTTGGCATTCGTGTTTCACATATAATGCAGAGACAGTATCGTTACAAATGTCGTAAAACAAATTTGATTCTTTTTGTTACACTATAAGAGTGTAGATAGTACATAAAACTCAAGTTTTCATCGTACATACGGGTAAGAACAAGTAATTCTCAATGAAAGTATCAAGCTAACCTATAAAGTGCTTTATACGTGTATGAATATAATCAATAATTAATTTAAAACTTTTTGGCCAAGTACAGGTAAATATTTCGCGATGCCACCCAAATTAAGAGGTGGGAAAAATAATGAAAAATATGAGACAATTAAAAAAATGCGGCCGAGTGTTGAAGAAAATAATGTTAAGAGTAATGTAAAAAGTAATATAGTCTTCAGAAAGTGCAATCAACAAAAGATAAAAAAACATAGGAAGAATTATGCTCCTGAATCTCTTGAGAAAGCTGTCAAAGCAGTAAATGAAGGCATTAGTTTGAGAAAAGCAGCTCAAATGCATTGTGTTCCTGTAACTTCTATCTTCAGAGCAGCGAAGAATCCAACAAAAATTAGATCTAAATGCGGTCCGCCCACTATTTTAACCGAACAAGAGGAACAGGATATTATCCAGTGGATCTTATATAGAGCTGAAAGAGGGTATCCGGTGAGGAAGGAAGAATTATTAGATTCTGTACAGTCATATGTGACAAAATTAGGAAGACGTACTCCATTTACACACGGAAGACCAGGACGTCACTGGTATGAAAAATTGTGTAAGCGTCATCCCAACATAACTGTTAGAACATCTCAGAATTTAAGTATGACTCGTGCTTCTGTAACGGAAGAAAATTTAAGAGGATGGTTTGGTGAAATTAAAACCTATTTGCACAGTAAAAATTTAATCGATATACATCCATCACGTGTCTATAATTGCGATGAAACTAATGTAGAGCTGACACCTAAGCCGGACAGAGTTTTAACGAAAAAAGGAGCCCATACAGTATACACAGTACTAGATGCCAATGAAAAAGAAAGTTTCACTACCTTGTTTATGTACAACGCCGAAGGCTTACGAGCTCCTCCTATGATTTTGTACTCCTATAAAGAAAATGAACCCAACAAAATTTTGGAAAATAGTCCAAGCGAATGGGGCATTGGTGTTTCTGAAAATGGATGGATGACAATAGAGACTTTTTATGAATATATAACTAATATTTTTTATCCTTGGCTGTTGAAAACAAATATCGAGTTTCCTATTATATTATATTTAGGTGGTCATTCCTCTCTTGTTACTATTCCATTATTTCAGTTTTGCCGTGAGAAACGAATCGAGATAATAGCATTATATCCAAATGCTACACATATTATTCAACCACTTGACATCGCAGTCTTCCACCCGTTTAAGGATATTTGGAAAGAAACATTGTCCAAGTGGGAAGTAGAAAATGTCTCAAAAGTGAGAAAAGAACAATTTCCTCTAGTGTTGCAGAAAGCTTTACAGTCATATACAGCAGAAAAAATGAATGTGCAAGGTGGGTTTAAGGCCAGTGGTTTAATGCCATTTAATCCGGAAGCTGTAGAATACAATGTTTTACATAAAAAAAAGACGAACAATAAAAATTATAATGTACAAACAAATCAAGCAAATCAGGTACCAGAAAGTCAGCAGCATCTTGTAAATAAGGAGATTGAGAATAAGATCAGACATTTAGAAACTTTTGAAAAAAATTTGTCACAAAAGTTATTGCAAAATTTCAAGGAGGCCGAATCTGCTGAGTGTTGGATTAACGATATAGAAAATAAGGGATTATTTAATTACTGGCTGCAAATTAAAAAAGCAGCTAGTGGTATTAGCTTTGGAACTATTTAAATGATTGCCTTTGTTTTTATTCGTCTAGTTTTTAATATTTTTTGTTCAACAAACACAAAATATGTTATTATTTATATAATAAAGTTAAGGTGAAACCCAACACTGTAAGCACAGAAAAGGTATTAAAATACAAAGTTGTTTTAACAAATCAATATTTAAATGGCAGAGATACTACTGAGTTCGTCAATGGAAGTGTTCCAAATTCAAATAATATCTTATTATTAAAAATCCTCGATCTGCGAAGAGAATGTGCGTATGGAGTAATTTCCATATCCAATCTTTTCCCCTGACCCATCTTAATTAGTAAGTTTTGCAACCTATTAGTGATAATTACAATTGAAATTTGTAATAGAACGATTTTTCATGAATTGATAGCAAAAATAAATCAATTCGTATTTTCCACAGCCTTTTGTAACGATTTGTTTGTTTATGTCTAGTGCACCATAATACATATTCATTAATATTTCCAGCATCTAAATCAAATTACTATCATCAAAGTACCATTATATAATCATATTCTAACATGACAGTATTGTTCTGACAGATGTCACAACCAGAACTCTAGCAATTATATTAAAAAATTGAATTATATATATATGCCCAATTTTGTTGCTCCACATAGTCCCAAATACATATAATTGCTAACGTTCCTAATTTGTTTCATCTGTAAAACTCAAATTCTAATATCCACGCTGCAACAATATTAACCCTTTACACTCCGCGCCATTCTGGACGTTACCTACGAACTACTCCGCACTATTTTGTCGCAAAAACCTGCATTTACGAACCTTTATATTAGACAGTATAGCTTTGAAATCGAGTAACATATATTTGCAAAAGGAATCAACATTTTGCTTCTTATCATTTTTACAGTATGATAAATTTTAAAGCATTCCAATATAATAAACTTGAATGTCCCTCAGAGGCGATATCCGAGTGATATGCCAGTATTACGATGTCTCCTGAGAGGGGACAACGGAGTGCAAAGGGTTAAGATATACAGTTTGTATACAGGGTGACCCATTTAAATCGACGCAGTCAATATTTTTGAAACCGTTGACGATACTAAAAAATGTTTCAAACGAAATTTGAATGGTTTTAGGGGGCACGTCATCTGATATTAATAAGATTTTTAAAGGTGAACGCGTCGAGGACATGTGAAAGCTAACTTTGTTTTCTTTAATGGAATCATATATTTTTTAATGTACTCTAGTCGATTCAGCACGTAATTCTGTTCATAATAATAGTGAGGCACTTATTACGAAAAATCATTAGTTTAGAAGATTGTTTAATTTTACTAATGCATAGTGTTAGCAATCGCGCATCTAAAGGTGGTGTTCAAAAATACAATCTTTAGCCAGAACGCAAAGATATACTCGGTCTCCAAAATATATTAAAATTAAAATATCTTCTAAACTAATGATTATTCGTAATAAATGCTTTCGTATGTTTATGAAGAAAATGACGAGCTGAATCGACTGATATAATAAAAAATGTGATTCCATTAAAAAAAATAAAGCTAACCTTTATATGTCCTCGACGCATTCCCTTAGAACAATCTTGTTAATATCAGATGACGTGCCTCCGTTTAAATTTCGTTTGAAACATTTTTTAATATCATCGACGGTTTCGAAGATATTTGACTGGATCGATTTAAATGAGTCGAAACCCTCGCAACTTCCGTATACGTGTACGCTTTCCTACCGCTGAGTGTAGCAACCCTGTATTGGTTTTCGACCGCAGATTACGATCGCCGCTGTCGCGAATTCCCTCGAATGTCACATGACTTCATATGTGACGTGGAGCAAAATAGGGGTAGAGAGCAACAGGGTTGCCAGGGATGCTCTCACGTTTGTAATTGGTCACGAGTCACGACAATCAATTGACAGTCAATTAATAACAGGACGATCGCAATTCGAATTATGAAAGTTAACATCGCTCGCGTCTTTAGCATTGCAGTTTATCGATGGTGTCTTATATGTACTATATATTACCTCTGTATTGAGACGTGGCATGAATGTGGTAAGATGCTCCGTCAAGGTCTTCATCGGCTTGAAGAGGACTGAGGCTTAAAAGTCTTGGCGCCTCGGCGTGGCCGCGAAACCAGCGCATTTCTGAAACACGAACAAAAACTTTCATTGTTTTTCAGAGATTTTAATTAAAAGATAATCGTGCTTCCAAGAAAACTGAGAACACTTTTATATCCGATTCAGAACTTTATTGTGCGTGCTACGAGCATCTACTGAAAGGTAATCAACTTTCATCAGTATATAAAAAACTAGCAGCTGTTGAAATTAAGCAGAGAGGAAATGAACATATAATGGTGGGAATAATTATAGACTCAGAGTAACTTTTACATTAATAATAACTAATTAAACAATACCTAAATAAAACATTGAATTTGTATACTTCTATATTAGAAATGATGGAAAATAGGAATATACGAATATAGTCTTTTTTGGTGTTTGTTTGATCATCGATAAAGATGAGAAAGTAGTCTCCTTTATCTGAGACACCTTTAAAAAAAGGCTTAACAAGATATCGTTATTTGTATAATTCTATTTCCTATTATTTGTAATATAGAATTATACAACTATGATATTTCATTAAGTTTTCGTTTAGATATCATTAACAATGTAAAAGCTTCTTTGAGTTTATAATTATGCACAGCCCTGTACAATTCTTTAGCTACAAAATACAGTATCTACGATGGTACCAAAAATTATTCATTCGTTCAAAAATCTCAAAAATTCTTACATTTATTGGTCAATAGAAGAGAAAAATTACGGTGTCGCTATCTTTAATTGTTTGTAACTCACAAGAACGATAATTTGGTATAATCACATACAAGTTACCGAGTTTTACAAAACGCATTATCCGTTATTATAGGCTTCGATAAAAAAATTAAAAATCACATTGTTTCGGTCAAACTAATCGGTAAATAGTAATTATTAGACTGTGTATTTTATGTATTCGTGACAAAACTGAATGGATCAAATACAAAATAGTAAAAAACATTTAAAAAATTTGACAATACTGTTGTGTTATTTTAAACTCGATAACATAATTAGAGAAAGAAAGAAATGGCCGCGTAACTTTTTTTATCTTATAATTAATGCAAACAATTTTTATTCTGCATAAATATCCGCAGTCTAGTAATCACCTATGTCTTCAATACATCTCCATGAACGCATAGTATTTGTATCAACGACAAGTTTTTCCATTCCAACAACGAAATACTTTCTGCTGTCTTTATGCTGCCTTTATCGCTGTTGTCTTCATTATCCGATTTGTCCGATTTGGCATACATACTCTTTCGCATTCTCTTCAAGTCTCGTGAGAAATCGAAAACCTGTAGGTACCGGATTCGGATTGATAGTCAACAACTACGATCATTAGTATGCGTAACGTTTTCCGCGGTTAAAAACACAATCACAGCACCCAATTCTCTGCATTCCATTGGCATCGTATCGATATCGAACCTCGCTCTAAATGATACTGATCGATACTGCGCCAAGCAAACGTATCTATACATACTTGGTATGTTTATACAGAGGAGATGCAACTATAAGCAGAGCGCTCGTGCAAAGCCGTGCTTCGTTAGAGATACGGACGAATGTTCATTACTTTTCAATCAGTCCTCGTACGTGGTTTCTCCGACCTAATTCGATGATAGGATAAATCAAGAATTTCTCGATCGGCAAGTTATTCAAACGGTTCTAAGCATTACTAAATATACTAATGTAATTGGCAGATGTATTTGATAGATAGAGTGATCCATAACTAGAATGCTTTCTAAAAATTTTGCTTTTGCTTAGAATGACAAACGAAAATTAAAAAACCCTCGTTTTTTAACTTTTTTTCCGGGCCTATAACGAAAATTTAAAAACTGTGTTTTGTATAGATCTCAGTAAATTATATGCAAAGAAGTTTTGACGAGATACTGTAAAGCGGCAACAGTGACGTACAATTCTCAATCGAACGTGATAATAATATCTAGAAAAGTGAAACTGTTACACTTGCGGTGAATGGATTTCGCGTGAACGAACGACGACAATTTCCGCTGGGATCGCTGAACCGAGGCTATTTTTTTGTCCGTCCCTATCGCACTTACTCCCGATGCCAAACAGCGTGAAGACCGAAAAGAACTGATAATTTAATGAGCAGCGGCCTCGAAGAACACCGAGAGAGGATGTTATAAATTACAAACTTGTCGTTTACTATGTTCTTTGTCACGCACGATTGTCGAATAGCGATCGCAAAATTGCTTCCGTTACGCGTGAGAAGGCCAATGGTGTTTGCGAAAGGAGTGAACGCTTCGATGACTCAACCTGCAGGCAATTAAAAGTAGATCTTGCAATTCATTGGTTTCAGTGAATGAAAATGAAATAAAATTACATAGTTTGTTTAAGTTTTAGTAATGTGTAAACTGTCCTTTACGTTCTACCACTTCAATCATTCGTCTTAGTAAACTTCTGTATAGACTCCTTATATCATTTGATCCAAGCATACCCAAGCTTCTAAAAAATTGTAGATTCCAATTAGGATACTATTGGGTTGACAACTAAGTAATTGCCGATTTGTTCAATGAAATAAAAATTTTTTTTTACTTGGAACGAAGTTTAATCTATAATGTATTTTCTATTTTGTTCGATGACCTTTTGCTATCTCTCTGACAACTTGAAAATTCCACGCTCGTAGAAAATCTGATCCTTTCCGGCCAAAAACTGAGTTAAGTGAGATTTTACAGCGTCATCATCGTTAAAAGTTTTATCACGAAGGGAGTTGTCCAGGGATCGAAATAAGTTAAGCGCGAGATCAGGGCTATATGGTGGGTGTAGCATCGATTCCCAACCAATATCCATCAATAATAAAAAATAACATAATAATAATAATAATAATTTTATAATACAATATTTACGGATATCATAAAAATGGGAGTGAGAGACATCTATAACTGAAATCGGCAACTATTTAGTTGCCAACCCAATANACCGGATTCGGATTGATAGTCAACAACTACGATCATTAGTATGCGTAACGTTTTCCGCGGTTAAAAACACAATCACAGCACCCAATTCTCTGCATTCCATTGGCATCGTATCGATATCGAACCTCGCTCTAAATGATACTGATCGATACTGCGCCAAGCAAACGTATCTATACATACTTGGTATGTTTATACAGAGGAGATGCAACTATAAGCAGAGCGCTCGTGCAAAGCCGTGCTTCGTTAGAGATACGGACGAATGTTCATTACTTTTCAATCAGTCCTCGTACGTGGTTTCTCCGACCTAATTCGATGATAGGATAAATCAAGAATTTCTCGATCGGCAAGTTATTCAAACGGTTCTAAGCATTACTAAATATACTAATGTAATTGGCAGATGTATTTGATAGATAGAGTGATCCATAACTAGAATGCTTTCTAAAAATTTTGCTTTTGCTTAGAATGACAAACGAAAATTAAAAAACCCTCGTTTTTTAACTTTTTTTCCGGGCCTATAACGAAAATTTAAAAACTGTGTTTTGTATAGATCTCAGTAAATTATATGCAAAGAAGTTTTGACGAGATACTGTAAAGCGGCAACAGTGACGTACAATTCTCAATCGAACGTGATAATAATATCTAGAAAAGTGAAACTGTTACACTTGCGGTGAATGGATTTCGCGTGAACGAACGACGACAATTTCCGCTGGGATCGCTGAACCGAGGCTATTTTTTTGTCCGTCCCTATCGCACTTACTCCCGATGCCAAACAGCGTGAAGACCGAAAAGAACTGATAATTTAATGAGCAGCGGCCTCGAAGAACACCGAGAGAGGATGTTATAAATTACAAACTTGTCGTTTACTATGTTCTTTGTCACGCACGATTGTCGAATAGCGATCGCAAAATTGCTTCCGTTACGCGTGAGAAGGCCAATGGTGTTTGCGAAAGGAGTGAACGCTTCGATGACTCAACCTGCAGGCAATTAAAAGTAGATCTTGCAATTCATTGGTTTCAGTGAATGAAAATGAAATAAAATTACATAGTTTGTTTAAGTTTTAGTAATGTGTAAACTGTCCTTTACGTTCTACCACTTCAATCATTCGTCTTAGTAAACTTCTGTATAGACTCCTTATATCATTTGATCCAAGCATACCCAAGCTTCTAAAAAATTGTAGATTCCAATTAGGATACTATTGGGTTGACAACTAAGTAATTGCCGATTTGTTCAATGAAATAAAAATTTTTTTTTACTTGGAACGAAGTTTAATCTATAATGTATTTTCTATTTTGTTCGATGACCTTTTGCTATCTCTCTGACAACTTGAAAATTCCACGCTCGTAGAAAATCTGATCCTTTCCGGCCAAAAACTGAGTTAAGTGAGATTTTACAGCGTCATCATCGTTAAAAGTTTTATCACGAAGGGAGTTGTCCAGGGATCGAAATAAGTTAAGCGCGAGATCAGGGCTATATGGTGGGTGTAGCATCGATTCCCAACCAATATCCATCAATAATAAAAAATAACATAATAATAATAATAATAATTTTATAATACAATATTTACGGATATCATAAAAATGGGAGTGAGAGACATCTATAACTGAAATCGGCAACTATTTAGTTGCCAACCCAATATATTATATTGTTTCTCACCTTCGTATATTGTTCGACTGAGATTTCCCCAAACATTCCAGATAATGCTTAGGTCAGGACATCTTGCTCGCCAATTCAAAACCTTTACATTTTCCGTTTCAAAATAATTTTTTCTATGCGAGCTGTATGCACAGCTGCATTATCTGGCTGAAATATATATTTTGTCCCAACAATTCTACGAGCAAGTAAGTCTATCTGTTCCTTGATTAAATTTAAGTAGACAGCACTATTCATACGGCCTTGAATAAATTTTACTTCGTCCACCAGCATAGTTGATTCTCGCATCGTTTATCCGTTCTTAAATAGAAGCTAGTATTATATTAATATATCAGACGATAAAACCAGTGTGTAGTTTTCCTAATGTCTCGGAACAGCAATTCCAGGTTTAAAAGCATGGCACAGAAATGACACATGTTAACAATTTCTTTTCACGTGTTACAGACACGCATCGAAGAGCAGATACTTTGATGT